AATTATTACTAACCCAAGACATTGTATCTTCTCACTCTATCTGCTGGAGAACAGTCCCCAGAAACAGGCAGAAGCAATGCTCCTGGGCTCAGGGAAAACCTAAAGAACCATGATAAAAAAAAGCTCAGGCTGGCTACAGCCAAGCTGCTTACTCTAAATTTAAACTTGGGGCACTATAGATCCCATGACAGTGTCCCTAAAGTCAAGCTTTCATACTGCAGGGGATGACATCAACATCTTTCTGGCATGATCCCAGAGAATGCAGAGTATCCTAAGTCACATGAGAATTGTCTTCTCATTAGTTTTGGGGAACATTTATATCACAAAGAGAGACTATATGGGAGAAGGAGCAGAAGCCTATTCGTGTTCTGGTGTAATCTGTGGGGATTAGCTGTCACTTTCACCTTCACATAATGCTGATGTTGGCAAACTTGCAATTGTTTCAAGAAGGTAAATGTTAATAACAACCTGACTTTATTTTACCGTGCCCGTTATGACTAAATCACCGTACTTGCAATAACCATGTCTACTGAGCCATGACCACTTTAGATAGGTCACTATCACTTTTTATTGCAGTGTGCTATGCACATACTGTGACTTTCTGTATGGTTTTCCATGATCCACAAATTGGCAGCCTTTTTATGGCTGCCCAGGGTGTGGAGGATAGTGGTTAAGATCTTAGAGAGCAGTCAGACCTGCAGAAATAAGCTAACCACCCTCAGCCATCTTTGCTGTGTACCACTTCCCTAAATAAGAATGGTCACCTCAGGCCTTAATTTATGTGTAAGCCTACAAGGAGAGGCAAGGAGTCACATTACAAACACCAGTGGGTCAGGCTTCCAAGGGAGTTAATAGTGATCAGACAAGATTTTTCAGCCTGTCCAAACACTATTTCCCCGTGATAATCTTCCACTTTGGGGATGAAGGTGCAAACAGTATACTTACGTCACCACAAAAACTGTTTATGTTGACCATGTAGACAATTAGATTCTTCCTTTCAGTGAAACTTGATAAAACAGTAGATTCTAATTAGTTAAAGAATAGTTATTTTAGACAAACAAAATAACTTAAATTCTGTCTCTTCACAGGTGCATACTAAAAAGCAGGAAGCATATACACAGTAATAAAAAAAGAATAATAATTACAACTTGTCTTTCTTTGTGTTTCAAGCATTTAATGCATACTTGCAGTAAAGTCAACTGCAAATATTTGTTTTATGGTTGATTTTTTTCTTTTTGCTACTGCACTTTCTCCATTTTATTGAGTGTCTTATCGCTGTTTTATGTGCGTGGCCTTAAGTTACAGCAGCTTCTAATTGCACTTTATCTCTAATAAACGACATTAAGGAGCCACTGATGTCTCCTGATGCTTTGCTTCTGTGGAAAGGAAACTAAGGAGACACAGATCTTACAGAATTACACAAAACAACATAAATCATTCAACATGAGCGCATATGTCTCATTTTAAACAGCCTTTCATAGCTAGTATTTTACTATTAGGAACATATGTGTAACAATAGCTGTTTTGATTGCTAAGTAATTGTGCTGTTTTTGAAAGCCGCTTATTTTTCATATGTTTTACTAAGTGTTTGTACAGTAAGTAACCATTCTTTGAAAAGCCACTAAACATACAAGTTTAGTTCACTTAGGGAAATACAGTATATACTGAAGCATTGAAAGGCCTTTATGCAGCTGTTCGTATACTGTATAGTGAAGATATTTGACATTTAATTAAAATCTTCCAATGTAATGTTGATTATTGAGCTTATTTTGTAGCTCCTAATTTGCGCCTAATTTGCTACTATGCTTTAGGGCTATAACACAAAATGACAGAATTAATACAGATAATTACAAAATGATTTAAAAAAGTAATCTACCTTTTCCTGACACAATCAGAAAATAGTTAAAAACTGAGCCACAGCCTGTCACGGCATGTTGCAGGGGCGGACTGGGCCGGGGGGCAGGGTGGCAATTGCCCCCCGGGCCTCTCTGATGCCACCGCGAACGGCCCCTTGACCTCCGGCCGCTGCCACCTGCACCCGGCCGCCTGCCCTCCGCATCCGACGCGGCTCTGTGAAGAATGGTGCGGCCGCTGCTCCTCAAGGAGGTGCTCGGGAGGCTCCAGCAGGGGGCCCTCTAACATGCCGCGTCTACCTGGTAAATGTTGGGTCATCATACACATACCCCTCTTATAAAGCTGCAGCAGTCTAAGGTCCAGTGAGTCTAAGGTCACGTTCTATACCATCACTGCGGACAAGGAGACTAGTGGAAGGGACTGGCCTAAGAGCAAGATCGGGTAAGTATAACTTTGTTATTTTTAAACCTAGACAAAAACGAGCACTTAACCCTTACAGTGTGGAGGCAGCCCCACTGCAAGGGTTAATAAGCATTTTACCCAGAGTTCTGCTTTAGGTGTAAGTGTATGTAAAAAAAACAAATAACTCAGATACAGTACATCTCTGCAATATTAGCACATTACGCCATGTATTATTCCTTTAAAGACCCTGCAAATACAGAAAATTACCTGTTGATCTGCCAGAAATGCATCCAGCTCTAAAATAGAAGCTGATTGGTTGCTGTGCTGTGGGGGTGTTTTAGTGGATGGAGTGTTTTCAGTCCTGCTCAGTTTTCTCTTGCCAGTCTACTTAGACCCACTTAATCTTTCTCCAAAACATAAATGCTTATAATTCAGCAATCCCAAAATAAGGACTGGGAGGGCTAATTACTTGCCTTGAGATAACAAAGGAGGTAAGCACTGGACATGGGACAGCTTTGATTTTCTATGCGTCTATTACAGAATCCTGCTGCACACCTTACTGGTGTCCCAATCAGCATGGGTGCTCGAAATGACTGTGGATGGCACCGCTTGTAGCAAGAATTATTAGAGATGTCACCAGTACACACACTGTAGTAGAATGAAGCAAACATCGGTTTATTGATGCATATTGTCATTACGGAGATGCCACTTTTCGGGGGCGACACAGGGTCTCCTTCATCAGGTTTGGAATGACGAGTCCTTCCAAGTCTGTTAAAGGGGACCTTGTGTGGCCCCAAAACTTTGCATCCATGTAATGACAATATTTGTCAATAAACAGACGTTTGCTTCATTCTACTACGTTGAGGTGACAGCTCTAATAAGCTCTAATTTTCTGGCATGATCAACAGGTTTGTTTAGGTTTTTGAGCTCAATGTTAACTTAATGCTTTCAAAGGTACATTTAACCAACCAAAAGGGAACAAATCAGAAAAGTTCATTGCTAGGGTATGCATACACTTTAATAACTAGACAGTTTGCTTCCTTTGCAATATTTTTTATTACGCTCAGAGCTCAGCACAAGGAAACTGAGGCCCTATTTTCTTAATTTTTTTTCTGAATCTTCATTATATACTGCAGCTGTGTTATGATACAGTCAGTGACAGAAGCATTTGTTATTGCCACTTGGAAGCTGTAACCGTCATCAATTATCAATTTCTCTGAGTTGTGTTTTGTGGCTCAGGGTGACTCCACCCTTGTCAGTAAAGATGCAGCAGGTTTTAAATTTAATCTAAACCCTCTAGTTTTTTTTTTCCTCTCTGAATGATAGCCAAGCATATTTAATGATAGTTGGCATGATAATGTCTTAAAAGAAATGTAATTTATTTTTTAAATAGTAAATGCAGCTGGGAAGCTGAATTTTTCATGCACCCTACTAGACAGCTCTTAGAAGTGTAGAAGGAACTGAGGGGGTCTCCTGCAGATAGAACAATGTGCTATCAATCTAAAGGGCCATGGTCAGAGCTCCCAATAACAAATGTATAATAAAGCTCAGGTTGAAGTTAAGGAGGACACCAAGGATAAGGCAGAAAAGGCATCTGCTGCTTGGAGAGAAAAATAACTCCAGTCTTGGTGACATGCTAGTGCTTACCATGAGGAAAATAATGAGGAAGGGAACAAAGAAAATATGGTGTATGCTCTGCAATCAGAGGTTATGATAGCATTTATTATTCAATTATTCCTGAGCATGAGGCCCTGCACCACTGTACACTGCATTTATAAACCCCTGCTTTTATCACTGCAAATCAAACATCAAGAAGTGACCACCACTAAAATATACCTGACATGTTTGTTAAAATAAATTAGTGAGTTGTTTAGGCAATGGTTTTCAGCCATCTACCAGAAACATCCATCGGGGTTGATTTACTAAAGACACTTTACTGTTTACTTTGCAAGGGAATTTTCCCTTAGCTCAATGAATGAGGTGAAGCTTTGCTGACCTCCATCATCCAATCATGTGCAAGAAAAAATATTTTCCTTCCTCGTGCTTAGGCATTCTTTGCAAAGTGAATTTTTGCCACATTTACTAAGCTAAGAAAAAAACATTTTCAGATAAAGTAGTATTTATTGGTATAAGTACTATAGCCTATGTTACTGATATTGGCTTTGTTTCCTATTTTGAAATGGCTTTATAAATGAGGACATATTATGCCTCCTTCATTAACAGATAATTGGAAAAAGTCAAGGCTGCAGGCACGCTGTGCAATAGCTTAATTGCAGTATAGAACACAAACTTCTGTTAATCCTAATGTGTCCTGTGCTCTGTGCTGAAATTCTTCTATAAAATCTATTTATAAAATGTATATACCTTGAAGGACGATGCTGTAATAGTGCAGTTTGTAAGGACAGCTTGTTGTGCATCAAAAAAAGAAAAAAAACTTCTGATTTAAGCTTCAGTGAGAGGGGGAATTACCCAAGAAGTTGTTGTTATGAAGCTGAGGTTTTAATAAAATGTTTTGACATTTATAGCGTTAGATATTTCCTGATACTAAGACGTTGCTCTTAACAATGTAGTGACATTGCAGGCTTTTTAAGTAATTGTATGCTCTTTTTTGCTGCTATTTTCAAAAAGCAGTAATTTCTAAATGTCACTTCTAATTCAATATGCTGTACTAATGCTGTTAACACTTTTCCGGGCAACGTGTAAGATAAAGGACAACATTTAATCATTGTGCTTTTTATTTTCAGGTATTCTGTGGATCGACATACAGACATGGATAGAATATTTAACATCGATTCTGGAAATGGATCAATTTTTACTTCCAAAGCTCTAGATCGGGAGCTGGTCTTGTGGCACAATATCACAGTAATAGCTACAGAAATCAGTAAGTCAATCCTAAATACCAACATTGTGCCTGCAGTAATGAAGCAGGTCCTTGCTGTGCCTGTTAGGAAATATACTGTACCCTATCGTTGGGTTTCTTAATTAATTGCAGAAACTAATTATTGCAGAAACATGTCTATGCCTTGGTTATAAGTGGCTCAGAAAAGCAGGATATCCCAGGCTCTGCCCTAAAAAGCAATTAAATAGTATTTGTTTCTGTGTTTCCTATTACATAGCTTTAGATAAATGTAAAATGGTCATTTAATGCAATAAATTTGTATCCACAGATGATGGCTTTGGTATAATAATCAAATCTGTTTTGTAACAACAACCATTTGTTAATTAAATGCTAGTGTAATCCCAATCAGGACTGACACAGACACATCACTTCCTTACTGGAAGTCACCCAGAGCAAGATTAAAAGTTAATACAATTAGTAGCAACGATGGAGTCAGTGTGAAAGGCAGACACAATTACACATGAGGACCTGGTATTGGCAGATGCACACTCTAAAAATTGCATTGTGCAGGCTATCTAGGACAAATTGTCATTGAGTTTTGAAAACAGTCTGGCATCTAGTCATTCAATAATATTTAGATATTAATGGAATAAAAGGTCATTGTGTATTGTGTGTCTTTATAATAGGTGATACTTGGGCATATCCAAATTCACATTGCGCTTGAAATAATTATACTTTCCTTTCTTTAATAATGACTGTAATGTGTAATTTTTTATGACTTCATCCAGCATCCATTTGCTTCTGATATTACATTGTATTTAAATTCAACATTCTTTTTTTTAATTTTTGGATAGTGTAGGGAGGGCATTTTTTTACTGTCTAAATCTCCATCGGGGAGATTCACACTTACTATCGGGGTGATTTATACACTATTCACACAGAAAAAAACAGCACATTATGGTCACTTGGTGTAGCTGAGGAGCATAGGAATTTCCAATGTCCCTCGGCTCCATCTATTGGCCATAATGTGCTGCAAATCTCATTTGCATAGCTCTTCACCATGCAAACAGTTTATGAATCATCCCGTATGTGTGCAAGTGACCATTGTCTGAAAAACTGAAATTGAAAATAATCACAAGTTGTCGCTGAAACAGGAATAAAGGTAAAATCTTTCATAAGGGTATTTGTTCCAATGACAACTGTGGAAGAATAGATTTCCCCTTATTTTGGAGAGATTTACTCTTGTATTTTTTGTCTGGAGACATAAAGGAAAGGGAAATCTCCTCATAGGGACACAATTGTTTACTCTATTTATTGTTATTGATTTGACATTTTAGATTTATTTAAATAGCTTAGTCATAATAATACAGATATTCATAAACTAGGAAATTTGCAGATCCAACTACTTTTTTTCCCCCCATACATACGTAAAACCGCGAAACATTTCCAAATAAAGTATTTCTTTTCCTGATTATCCATGGAGTAAAAATTATTGTAACAGTTGGCACTGGGGTGTCAGTACCTTGATCAAAATGATTGCAAAATGTAGTCCAGTTTGTTAGCGTTCTTAGCTGATGCTGTAGGGACAGCATTGTATTGTGCAATGCACTCTTTCAGGAAGTTGACTAACATATACTGTACAGTAAATTTCATGGTGGAAGAAAAAAAGATTACATGTGGTTTTAGCCCGACTTTCATTTGTCTGGAGTATGTGTATTGCCAAATTTGCAATACCCATTGCTCAGCCTGGGTTTATGGATAATGCAAACGTAAAGAGAATTGGGTCAGGGCAAAGTGACAGGTTACAGTGATAGGGCATCCTATCCACCTATACTCATCTTCACCATGCCTCTCTGCTGCTCTGACCTGATCGGTTCATGGCGCTTAGAATACCTGGTGCTTTCGGCGCCAGAAGACCTTGTGACCTTTTTCCCAGTATGCAGTGTTTAGACCTGAGCAGCCTATCCTCAAGCACTAACAATGTCATGTGGGGGATAAGGTTATTACCCTATGTAATCTGTGACACAGATCGACACAGAGTTTATACAGTGTTTAAACTTTGCAGTGCCCAGGTAAACAGGGCAACGGCACAGGAAAGAAGAATTTAGTTGGGTGGGTTGTGCCTTATTAAAAGAACCAGGGCATTCAAGCAAAGTGACAGATTCTCTAAGTAGTTAGAAAAAGATTGCTTTCACAGATGAATGGAGCCATCATATAAGTTCAACTTTTATCCTTGCCATACATGTTGATAACTGTCAAAATTGAGAAAACGTGTTCACCCAATAAAAGATACATTTAGTCAAATGTGACTTAACTATTATAATTATCTATTGAAACCTATTTATGGGTACTTTAGAAGAGCAACAAATAAGCTAACTTCCCCTGAAAGCATTGGTATCTGCGACGTGTAGCTTACTCTTCAAAGGAAAGGAAAGAGATGGCATATCAGTTTCATCACTTGGTTGGAATGCGAAGCCTTCCACCGTAGAGAACACATAGATGTATAGTTTTGTGTAGAAATAAATTTCTATTTGTAAGTGCCTTGGATAGTAATGGTTATTTTATGTCCTGCAGTGGAAGTCTGTACTTTGAGTGATTGCAACTGCTGACTTCCACTGAGTTATGATTATTATCAACACACTACAGTATCTTGTGATCATTTGGAAAAAGCTGTACGTTGGCTTCTGTGATACATAGAAGTTGCAAGCACATAGTTCAATAAATGGTTTACCATAATTCTCCCAACGATGATCAGTCAATGCTCATGAGCACAACTCCAAATAATAACTAACACTGGAGAGTTGAGGGTCATTTTAAGTATCATTGTGCCCACTATTACTTGTGGGCAATTTGAATGACATCAAAAATCTAATGTGTTTAATGCTGATAACATAACACTCGTTTTGTGGTGTATTTGCTGTTTAATCTTTATATTTGTCTTTAGAAGAATAGTGTCATGATACATTTACACAGTGCTTCCAATTTTCTGCTTGGAAAAGTGGCTGTAAAATTGGCAATACACAGCTTGTGTTCTTCTAATTAGGCGTTTGATTGTCAGATTCAAAGACTCACAGGCACAGCATTAAAAAAAAAAGAGAGACCTCTTCCAAAATTAAGCATTTAGCGGCTGGTTTCTGAACTCTGTATGATTCACCCTGTACAGCCGTGGTACACAGACGGGTCTCTTATCTTTTTATTACAGGTAATCCTAAAGAAAGCAGTCGTGTTCCTGTGTATATTAAGGTTCTGGATGTGAATGACAATCCCCCAGAGTTTGCAACGCTGTATGAGATATCCGTTTGTGAAAATGCGAAGGCAGAACAGGTGTGTATATGTGATTTCTTGGCATTTAAGTTGCATTCAAAATTGTAAAGCAGCTGATCCATGTGGCCGGTTTAAAGGTTTTTTGGGGGGTTTTTTTCATCACACCTTGGAGGTAAAGAATATTATAAGTTAGCAGACATCTGCCTTGCAACATGCAACACTATATACAGTTACATGCTTGTCAACACATCTGTATTAACAAAAATGATAACTGATGCTTATATTTAGCAGAATTATGCACATGCTGGCTCTGGTAACCCTTCATGCTGCCATAAAATACAGTATTGTTTACAATTATAATGCTTACTAGACAACTTGACAGCTCTCTGCTTTCACAAGTGCACTGTAAAGATCATCCTCGTAATATGCAGATATTGCTCTTTAAAAATATGCATATATCAGAAATAGCCCCTTCTTATGCAAACTATTGTTTTGTGTGTTTACTTTTTATGGCTTTTTATGTTTGTTAGCATTTTGGATTGTATGCATTGCACTATTGGAAGCCAGTGGAGAGATTGTCAGAAAGGGGAGGTAGCCACTGAGCAGTTGGAGAGGTGAATGTGTCTGGCAGCAGCATGCATGATAGTCTGAAGGGGGATAGCCTGTCTACAGGTAGGCCAACAACATGGGACTTGCAGTAGTCAAGGCAAGAGATGACAAGAGAGTGAATTAGTAGCTTTGTGGTCTTATTTATTAAGAAAGAAGGTACCGTATATACTCGAGTATAAGCCATCCCGAATATAAGCCGAGGTACCTAATTTTACCACAAAAAACTGGGAAAAAGTATTGACTCGAATATAAGCCGAGGGAAATGAGGCAGCTACTGGTAAA